TGAGGTTTGCTGTGTTTTTCAGATATTCCTGGAATGGCAAAATCCTATCTATTGTTAGTGAAGTATTTTGGATTGGGATCATGCTTCAGTTTCTGACCATCCATGTATATGTGCACTAGAATTGCGGCAGTGAAATATATTGGGTTTAGTTTTAGAGGAATTCATTGTAAGACTCCATGTGCTCGTAGCATCTTTTAGGATTTGGTCCAGGGTGCAGAAGGATCGAGCTGGAGTGGCATAGCAGAAGTCACTGGCACAGCTGAACTTGAAGAATAAAGTAGCACATTGTGACTATTGATCACAGTAGGTTGGGAGTCCTTTTATAAAACTTTGCAACTTGATCCCTTTTCTAAGGTTCAGGAAGTGATTTTCAGTCTTGCTGCTGATGGACCACATCTCAGCTGAGCTGGCAGGCCAGCTCTTCCACTGAAGGTAAACCTTGACATCACTCAGAGTTCTCTGTCTCTCTCTTATGTTAATAGATCCGCTAAAGAGCGCAAAATCCGGATCTGGAAAGATTATGTGGCTCCAACAGCTAACATGGATCAGAAGGACAAGCATTTTGTGGCCAAGGTTAGTGTTCTGCAAATCAATGGTGGGGAGTGGATAAGTGCATGGTTTTTATTTTAACATGTATGCCCTTTTGCTTTGAACGGTCAATGTAGTGGGCATCTTATTGACATAACTTCATTGCTTTTGACTGTAAATGATTGTGTGGAGACATAAAATTACAGTTCTGCAGAAATGATTAGTTTTGATTTTTTTTCTCTTTATTGTGCTTGTGGTGTGTTGCTGAGATCTGGTGCTCAGAGTTTTACCTTACAGAAAGAGGTCCTTTAGCCTATTATGTCCACGTTGATAATCAATCATATAGCTACTCAAGGCCCATTTTCCAGCACTAGCCTTGTATCCTTGTATGCTATTGTGTTTCCAGTGTTTGTCTAAGTATTACTTAAACAAGGTGATGGTTCTCGACTCTGTCACGTTATCAGACGAAGTTCGAGATACTCACCATACAATGGGTGAAAACATTCGTCCTTCATTCCTCCTGAAACACCCTGCCTCTTTCTTTCAACCTTTGTTATTGGCCCCTTGATGGGGAAAATTTTTTCCTTTTTATCCTTGTCCATGCCCCTCGTAACTTTGTATTGCTCAATCACGTCTGCCTCTGTCTCCTCCGTTGGAAGGAAAACAGTATGCTGAGACTTGCAGCTACACATCCCTAATGTGTTTGAACTTCAATTTTGCTC